TCAGTTGCTTCACCCGAGGCTCTGAGGTTCTTGAATGCAATACCAAACGAATAGTTCAGGTAGTGTTCTGGGTCTCGATCCATGAAGGCCTTGATGTTCTTAATCCAATAACGAGATGAGAACTCCTCGTTGTCCGGGTCCAATCTTGGATCCAATTCATCCAGCTCTTCGGCCATAGGGTTAATGCCCGGTGCAATGGTCGAAGCCTTCGAAGTCACTCTTGACAGATGGCTCTCAGTGGTGGAGTCCAAGTCCCCCTCTGCGGTACCGGCCTCACTATCTACATCTCCGTGGAACTCAGCGTCTGGCTGTGATATACGGTCAGAGTCACCTTCACCTTCACCTTGCTGCTGTTGTTGTTGCTGCTCTAGCTCTGCCTGTGGTTCCTTCTCCCTCCGGAGTCTTCTCTTCTTGCTGTCCACGGAGAGTAACGATTGGTTTGTAAACGTCCTGACGAGCTGCTGCACCTGTTCCTCAACCCGGGAGTTGAATCCCATGTAGCGCTTGGGCCCCTTGTCGTTCTCGACCGAGTCCTCTGTCGCCATCTGGAAACCGCTATGTCTCACTGTAATCCTCGAGCACTCAGAGCTATGTGCAATCTCAATTCTGCTGAGCATCCACGGAACACAGCGCGAGGATAAATGCTTTTCCTTATATACAAACGCACGCCCCAGCCCAAGGAAGCAAACAAGCAAGCACAGCACAGGCACACACCAGGCAGAAGTTGCCAGTGTGTGATGAGAAACGGTCAAAACACTCACAAATAACTACAAAATGGCCCTAACTTCTGTGGTCTCCTTACTTTCGCACACAATGTGTGGTAAGGTGGGACGTAAACAACTGACTTTGCTGCAACTTGCTGTATGGGGCGCGGGTCGCAGCCTTAACAAGTTGTTTTTGCTACGCTGAGTGTTTGTCTGTGTGCTTTGGGCGCCGCAGTGACAAGCAGCGGGAAGAAAAACAACAGCGGCAGCTGCAATTTGCTGCTGAATTCCGAGGGATTGCCGATCTAAAGTGATGTTGTGCCGCGGACAATTCGAGAACAATCAAGCTACAGCGAAGCAACCAGCACGGGCATTAAAAGTTGGGCACGACCACAGGCGGCGAGTGACTTCGCGGTCTAAACTTGGGCCATGAGCAAGTCGATGTGGCCAGGCCATTGGAGGAGGCCATTGGGCAGGACAAGCCGGGCAGACCATCTCTGGATGATCATTTTCGTGGTGTACGCTGTGTTTGTTTTCCAATTTCCCATCCGAGGTGTCCCAGCTGCCGAACGTGGAACTTGCATCTGACAACGATAAATTATAGAGATGGGAAATATACGACGCTTGGCTGCACCTCGTAGCAGCGTGACGGACCATAGGCTGGGGGGGGGGGCATGGAAGCTTGGGAGTCCCACCTTCCTCCTCCTTGTTCCGCTGGTTCTGGGCCGAAGCCATTCAAAGCCAGTGCGCTGGACGTCCTAGAACTGAGACTAAACTCTCAGAAGTGTTAACTTCGCGCAGTGCGGGTAGGCATCTCATTGCGGGCAGGCATCTCATTGCGGGTAGGCATCTCATTGCAGGTGGAAAGCCGCCTGGAAATTACTTTCACTATGGCTGGCTGTATTTGGCACTGTCGTACACCATTGCCTAAAAGAAAAAGGTTGCCCTTTAGTATTAACCGAACAGTTGGCGTAGATCGATTGGACGTCAATTGATTGCGTTTGGATTAACTACGAAACCCCGATCCGTAGCTCAGTACCGATACGTCTTCACAGCGGTCACGTGCCTGGCTTAAGCCGTCGAAGAAATCAGTCAACATCGATTCTCCCGAACGTCGGCATGCGTGGCCTGTGTTTTAATTATAGAAACAATGCACATAATTCCATGTAGCAGCTCGGCAATTGTCTATTGTCAGATATTCAATCATCGTACATACCCGATATTGACTTTCCAGCTGAGTTGCACTTCTAAATGAGTAATGTACTTGAAGCTAATATAACTTACAATATCGTCTTTCTGAGGCGAGATTAAACATGCTACAAGAGTACTACGCGCATATTAACAGCACTACAAGGCAAGTGTTGATGAGGCATCTTCTTGGCATTGCTAACGCCTGGTAGATAGGAAAGCACACACATCTATCATATGCCAGTAAATATGGTCTTCGTTCACTGCGTGGTGACCTTTTCAAGGTTACTATCAACATCTTTGTTTTCACTATCAGCACTAGATGAACTTGCAAATGGGCTTTTCTCTTTCACCCTATTTTTCTTCTTTGGAACTCTTGCTAACCAATAAAACAGAACCGCACCGACAACGTTGATAACGATATAAGCACAGAAGATACCAAGGTTTCTCCATTTGCGGCTGTACGAACAATTAATGGTACTCAAGAAGTCGTTTGTAGTGGACATCGGACACATCTCACAGTCAGAAGTAGAAGAACCATCTGTCAAGTAACCCGTCCCTGCGGATTCAAGGTATTCACCAAGATATTCTGAACATGTCATATTACTTTCTGGGGGATTTAAGACCCTCAGCTCATCTTGTGAACATGTCACTTTGGCATTCCCCAATGCATTGGACAAAAATCCATCAATAAAATACGTCAATGGTGAAACTCGATACATGAAGATCCAGAAGCCAGGTAATTGATCAGGTCCAACAAGAACACCGCAGAATGTCAAGCACAATGTGAAAGAAAGAGATACGACATTACCAGCAGAATCTGCAAGTTCCAATGGTGCAATACACATATTACCAAATGTACTGGTAAAGATAAAGAGCAAACACATATAGAGCCAGGCATATGCACCTCTTTGGTTAACTTGGTTAGTTGGTTCAGCATTATGATAAAACCCTGCGGGGTAGTAGAAAGCAAAATATGAAATTGTACCTAGAACGAAGCTCCATGGAATCTCTGCTGCAATTTGGGCAGCCATAAATGCCGTCCATGAAAAAGTCTTTGAAGGCCGTTCCCTAACTTCATAAAGGTCTCTTTGACGAACAAACATTGGTAGTTGTTGCTGAATTGTTGGATTGAAAATCATGAGAATCATGAATAAAGCAAACATTTGGTTCTGCAAACCTTGAAGAGAAAGATCTGCGTTGAAAAACACAAATCCAATAAATAATGGAGATGAAGATGCTAGGAAAAGCTTTGCCCAAGTATAAGATGGTGTTCTCCAGTACATCTGAAATGTTCTCTTTACAACTGTAACAAACTGGTAAGGAATAGATGTAGCAAACTCTTCCTGTTCAGCAGTAGGGTCATAAGGCAACTTCACAAGCTCCTTCTCCATATATTCAAGTTCTTTCAACACTTCCTTACGTTCGTCCGATTCTAACCAAACCTGATGGTAGTCTTGGTTAGCATGAGAACCAGGAGCAGCACCAATGACATGAAGCATCCATTCTGCTGGATTTGCATCTGGAGGACATTTTGGCGAACCATGGTTTTCGAAGTAGTCGATCAATGTCTGACAGTGATCACCTAAATCACCAAAGTAGACAGGACGACCACCACTTGCAAGGAAGAGAAGTCTATCAAACTCTTGCATCAAGATGGCTGAAGGTTGGTGAATGGTACATAAGATGGCCTGGCCATGATTGGCAAGCTTTCTCATCAACTGACAAATAGACCAAGCAGTTTGAGAGTCCAGACCAGATGTTGGCTCATCTAAAAACAAAAGCAGTTTTGGTTTAGCAGCAAGCTCAACACCAATGGACAATCTCTTTCTCTGTTCAACGTTCAAACCTTCACCAGCAACACCGACAACGGCATCAGCATACTTTTGCATATCCAAGATCTTGAT